AAATTTTTATGCCAGGACAAATTTGGAAACTTATTTGATGTTGGAAAAACTATATACATAAAATTTTTTTTTCTAATTTTACGTTACTTATATTTTAAAAATTTAAATTTCAAGGCTACTTTATTGTTTTAAAATTAAAATAATTTTTATTTTTTAATAATAATATTCAATTATTTTTTTTTGTCAGGAATTTTTAGGTTATAATACCTTATATCTTGTCTTCTATCAAGGTAATTAATTGTTTTTAGGAAGTAAACAAGACATTAATAAAAAGAATCCAACCACAATATTACACCGGTAAAAAAGTTTCTTCTCATATTGATTATAATATAATAACTATTTCCCAAGTCAAATATACAGGACAACTATAATTATAAACAAACATATCATTCCAATACCATACTCAAACACAATACAGTATTCAACAGACTTCTGACTGGCATCTTTCAGAGAGAAATAAAGGAAATACTCAAAGCACTATTCTAACACAACCGAGATCTGATGTCTTAGTTATTCTAAAATGGTAAATGGCTTTTTATTGTCCCATTGCACATACAAATCTAATCCCAATTGATATGTCAATTTTATTGAAAATTAAATATATTTGTTAAACCTTAAATCAGGTTAAACTCAATCTTCGAAACACCTCTTTCTCATCATTATAACCTTATTTTCTTATTCGATATCTCAACTTTCATTATCATTTCGTCCAATCAATTTGGATACATAGGATTTTAATATAGATAAGAACAACAACAATTAACTTAACAATCTTAAACGGTCTGCTGGTCCAACTACCTGTTTTTTAGGTATGTATCTCTTAACTCTATGCGAGGACGTTTTCTGAGTCCAAGATATTAAACTACATACTCCAGTCGGTGTTTCTTTTATATTGCACGACTTATTAGCCTTATACTTATGCAGGCTAAATCGGTCTTCTACGGGTTGGGTCTAAGCAGAAGACCGGTCTTGGGAACTACCTGCTTATTAAGTGTATATCTCTTAACTCCATGCGAGGACGTTTTCTGAGTTCAAGATATTAAACTACATACTCCAGTGGATGTTTCTTGTATATTGCACGACTTTTCAACTTTATACTTATGCAGGCTAAATCGGTCTTCTACGGGTTGGATCTAAGCTGAAGACCCAACCCAGCTTATTATAACCATAACTGATGCTAGAGTTTTTATTTATAAACTAAGCAAATAATTTACTAAATTCTAAGACACTTCTTGCATCTTAACTGGAACATTTATTTCAATTTAAGTAAAATCTAATCATCAATACTAACTATCGTTAAAATTTAGATACGAGGGTGGTTTGATAAGTCAGTGACTGGCCACTGCTAGATTACAGCTGACGGCAGCACTGTTGCATTTGGAGTAACTGCGCGGAAAATTCAAAAAGTCACTGACTTATCAAACCGCCCTCGTAGTTAAAAACATTAGTTTATTGAAAATATTTATAGATATATTCCTGTCTTCATTGCTATTGGTTGTGGCTTGCAAAAATTTTATGTTCAAGTAAGTAAAAAACAGTTTCTTATATTTCTTAATGGTCAAAATGAAGTCACCCAATACCCACATTAGTTAAACATTACAATTTAAATTAGAAATGAAAAAAAAAAATATAACAAAAAATAATATTAAATAAAAAAATAAAATAAATTTTATTTAAATGTTATATGATGCCACACCCATTGACTACGAAGAAACGGTAACTGCACAGTAAATTAAGTCAACTTACTGAGGCAGACAATAAAAAACGTGTACTACTCACTGATCCATTAGAAGATATGGCCAGAAGAAAAAGTGCTGCAAGATCAATTAGCTCCGAATAGCAAACAATTAGAGGTGTGTATTTGCTTTTCATACTAGAAGTTTGTTTATGAAAGAATTATGGCTCAAAACTCAGCAGCCAAAAGAACTGCAGTTGTTTAGTACATAATAAATAGCATCTATATACATATACGTATATATGTTGACGTCTATTAAGCTAAAGAACCGATTTATTGTTTTTGATATCGAAATATTAATTAAGGTCAATATAATTTTTCATGCACCACATTTTCTGAGTCAGTTTTTTATAAAAAATTTTTAATCAAATAAAGATCAAGTATATTTCAATTGCAAATTAGGTGTGGCAGCGAGCTTGAAATTTATATCGATTATTTTTTAAACTAATTTCAAAATTTGATTAAATTTTTATTAATTATGCACCTCAATGTCGTTTTGTAAATGCACACATTTCAAGACATTAGAATAATTGAGATTACAGATAATATGGATATTTAGTCTACTCTGTGGGCAATTGGGTATTACAGTAGATAGAGCAAGCTTTTTACTTATTTAAACTGATTGCGTGGTAGAAGAAGTAATAGTCACCATAAAAAATATTTTGTTGACAAACACAGCATAGTAAAGTCAACTTGAATAGAGAAATATAAATATATTAGCAAAATATACAAAAAAAAAATCTAATTACACAAATTCTGCACTAATAATTAAACAATTTCTATAAACAAAACATTTAATAAACATAGTTTTAAAGAGAAAACGTATCTATAATTTATTATTTGATTTTGTTACTTCGAGAAGAGAATTAAAATTAATAATCAATATGAAAAGAAGAGTTATAAATCTATATTTGAGTTGTGACACTTAATTGTTTCATTTTATTAAAATGAACATTGGCACAATAGTGTGTATAAATATTAAAAAAATAAATATTAAATATAAACATAAATAAATATTAATCAAACATTAACTTTGACAGCTTAAATATAATAAATTATAATTAATTGTGGTAATTATAAATAATACTCACTCGTTAAAATTTATTGCGGAAGGTTTCCCAGCGGAGCACCACCAATGCCTATAGTAAACATATCTGCGGCAGGTTGAGATCTATAGCTTTTGACCCTGCAAAAGTCCCCTTTTATAATTACAACTTCTTATTTATTTAATACTTTTAATGAATATAAATTTACAAAATCTCAACATTTAAGCTATATATTAGTCTTAATTTCATTATGACGCTACTTTTCTTTAGCAAATATAAACGTAAAGTAAATTGAAGATAAGAATAAGAATATAAAGACAAAATAAGGTAGAATTGCCATATTGCCATATTTTCACCATAGATCAAATAATTTTAAATAAATTACTATATATAATATAAAAATTAATTAAATAAATTATAATAGAAAGGTATATAAAACTTATAAAAACACATGATTTATTCTTTATACAATAACTTCACAATTAATTCTATTAATTTCTTATTAAATTTCAAAAATTTTTCCACCACTTACATATGAGATATGTTAACCACCATAATAAGGTACCCAGCAATGTTTTTCAGAGCAGCACTGTTTTCCTATAATGGAATTACCACATTCTACATTTGGTTTAGATTACCGAATAATATGGTAAAATTTAAGAATCTGTTAAATTTGATTTTAAGATTAAACTAAAAAAAAAAAAACTCGTTGCGACATAATAACGTAAAACCGCAGTCCACACAAATTAAATCCAATTAGGAAACAGCTAAGAAACAAAATTGCTCCTTCCAACTGTACTGACAGCCAACTGTGCATATCTGCATCAAACTATGAGATAAAATGAATCAGCTGATTACTTGCGGCACAACTAATTAGATCTTAACACAAGTTCATTATAGAAATTATTAATTTTTTTTAAATTTAAATTTTATTAATCAATTTAATTTTTTATGGAACTTTTTATGGAAAATAAGCGCTTATTTGTAAATAAATGAAATTGAAACGGATCAACTGATTGTCTACAGCATAATAAATACAGCTTTTATTTTAGTGTACAATCAAGAAGTTTAATTTTTAAAAGTGAAAACTGTAGTTTCTATAATAAATATATAAATAGAAAATGAAAAAAGGTTTTAGTAATAAAGTTATGAAATTGATTGGAAAGTTTTCTATAACTGAGACAAATCAGCTGACTTTTTGCCGGATAACTAATGCATGTTTGTGAATGTGACTTATATGACAAATTGACATTGCGTTTTTACCAGCTAGAATCTGGCATGATTTTTGCATTCAAACGTAAAAATCCTATTACATGCCAGTCGAGACATCAAGTTAAAGTATACTTTTAATCATAACATTATTAACAATAATAAAGTTTATGATTGCATTGCCATTTACGTTATTTTGTTCCCAATCTTTTTTCTTTATTAATTGATATATATTGATCAACTGATAATTTAAACGAAAGAATCATTTACAATATTGTCATATTTGATTAGGTATCAATTATAATAGTAATATTATTCTTCAATTTTATTTACCAAGCTAAACTAGTGAAAATTAATTGCTAATATGTTAAATAAGTTCTAAAGTGATATTTAGCACTTTAGCATTTAATATACTATATGGCGTGCTGTGAAATTTTATATGTAGTTAGGGTGTAGTTTCATTTCAAAAAAATTCGAAAATGCGTTTTGAAATAAATAAATCTTTCTAAAGTTTAGCCAATGGAGACTCCAAGTTTGCTGTCTGTAGAAACTTTGTATTTAATACTACGTTTCCACTTGTCCCTTTTATGCAGTTTTTCTTATTAGAGCCGCTAATGTCAACAATTTGCCATGTGAAGAGTTCTTATATAAATGAGCTTATTATAAATAAATGAACTAATTTAAGGCAAAATGTAATACGTATAGCAATATTTATACTTATTCAACTACCATTTATCATTATTTTTAATACTATATAAACAGATTTGTTTCCTGCAGTTTTTCAATTAAAAAGTCAATTTTCACTTCTTATAAGATAAACTTGCTAATTTCTTTGCATTAATTCTTCAAACGTTTGTCGTACTGAAATTAAATCAAACCTAACTGTCAAACGCTTGAATTTGTTTTGATAAGCTTATAAAAATATAGATATAAATCTAATTTGGAAAATCTTTAGCAAGACTAGTTAGATTTCTAACCTGTTATGACTGATTTACAAAATTTTTACCATTCACAAAAATTCAAAAATCGGTGTTAGTATAAATACTTGTGTAAGTCAGATCAATCAAATTATAAGGTTTTATTGGTTGATGATGGTAATGGGGTATAATTGCTATCGATAAGTTGCTTATCATATTGACAAGGCGAAGTGCATGTAGTATCTTTTACACTACAGCATTGTGCGGTCAACCAATTTTCTGTCGAGAAAACTTTAGAGAAGACCAAATGTAAGCTTTTTCTTTTAGATTTCTTAAAAAATTGAGAATTAAGCAGGTTTTATTTGCACTCTTTTTTTCGCAGACTTAAAATGTTTAAACTGTTTTGGAAACTTCTGTTATTAATCCTTTTGTATGGCTTTTACAAGCTATACAAAGATTTCCAGCCATTGACGCCTGATAACGTAATCTGGTTTCAGATGCTGGAAGGTGCTATGGTCATAGTGTTATGTCTTCTTCCATTGGGTTTTGCATATGTGGCTGTGAAATGGCGTTATAGACAAAATAAAAGGCAACGTTTTATAAACAGGATTGAAGAATTGAATAAAGTAGCATTAAGGTGATATATTAATCAATTTAAGTAACTGGGACATTATTATAACTTTTGACGTATTTGCACTCTTTCAGCAATTCAACTGATGATCAAACCTTATAAGTGGGTGTCTGATGTAAAATTGATTAATTGGATATTATAATGAAAACTATTCAACCAAGTAATGAAATGGACAACAAAATAAGAGAAATTGGACTATTTGAATAATTTGTTTTAAAAAGTTTAATTACTCTTAATAAATATTTAAAAAAAAGTTGTTTTTTTGGTTTGTTTTAATATTTAAATCAGTTTAGAGTTTGTGTGCCTTATCAATATAAAAATTTTATGAACTTAGGATTGAAACAAAAAATTCTTGAAGATTTATTACTAAAAGTACACAACTAGATTTGTATCCCAATTTCGTGTTGAACTTTAAATTTGTAATTAAAATAGCAATATTAACCATTTTATTAATAAAACTATGGTAACTGTTTTACGAACTTTTAATTAAAGCAATATTTTTAAGTAAATTTTCTTATAAACAAAAAACAATTAATGTCCAATCTAACGGAAGTGGTATTATTCCAACAGTATGCAAGCAAACCATGGATTTAACTATTGCTTTATATTTCTTTTTGTCCTCTAGGTAAATTCTATGAGCTGTTTGTGCCGGTCCATCAACATTAGGATTAGGATCCTGAATACTAAGAAGTATTTCTTTTATAGTTACTGATGTACACCATTCTAACCAAGCTGATAGACAAACCGTTCCGGAAGGATATACATTAGGGTGAAAAATCGTGGGCGTAATACACATTTCGGTAGAGATTCAAGATATTCTTTATTGAAAACCAGTTGTAGTTTGTATGCTCCATAGTGTTTCTTATTTCCCAGGAACAAAACAATCGCAGAAGTTGAAATTAATTTTGTTTTCAGGAAACTTGCAAGGCCTAAGAATATTTAAATAGATCATAAGATAAAATTTTAATTAATTATGTTTCTTAGGTGTTATATATCAGTAAACGAAATACATTTGTTGCACACTTTTAAATTCGAAATCTTACATTTAGTAAGAATCCATCCACATCACACATTTTAACCAGCGAAAACTTTTCTTTTTTTATTGCCTTTCTAAATTCTGGGCAGTGGGCGCTACTTGTAGAATGATTTCCTGTGCATAGTATACATTACTCCTTATCAGTGCATTTTGTCGCAATATGCCCCTTCTGTCGCTATTTTCTACAAACATTCTCAGGATAAATTTATTCATTGCAGTTCTTAGCTAAGTAATTGTAGCCCCAACAAACATCGTATTGGTGAGATGCAATGTTGAATTCTGCAGAACACCTATTCTATTCTTAGCCTACGTGCGCTTAGGATTTTGTTAACGCCCGCTACTGGTACGTTTACTTATGCAGTTTGTGTGCATTGGTTAGATTTGGTCATACGTACTGCTGTTTCTTCAGGCCGTTGGGTGCCTCATTGTACTCATATGGCTTCGCAAACTTGTGCTGCGGTTGTGATCTCGTCAATGTCCCAAATTTGTATTGTGGTCGTATGTGTTTTTGTTACCATCTTAGCTGTTTCCTGTGGTACACCTTCTTTTATGGATTAAAACTAAGCACAGATTTCCAGCACCAACTCATTTTTTGACGTTCTACGTATCGCCTTTATACTTTCACCAAGTGGTTTAAAGGGCATACCGAGTTTATCGGAGATATTAAATTATTTTTTTTTTGTTGATAGTTCCCAATGCTCTTAATGGTTCTTTCTTTCACAGCTGCTATTTGCATTTCAGGGTGGGCTTTATACTTTTCGTAGTATTCTTTTATTTTGAGAGAGAGGATTAAGTAAATTAAAAGTAGTTTTTTTTAAATAATATATGAATAATTGTAAATATTTATTTTGACAAGGGTTAACCTCATATATCCAATAGTTGCCATACAAAATAATTTTAAATTGTTTTAAAATATTAAATAAAATTATATAAAATTAAAATAACAATAAAACAAAGATCTTTGTACGTGGAAACTAATAAGTTAATTGAAACATCCAGTCAAATATATACGAGTGTGTACGAGTACATAAAAATAATTAAATTTATTTATAAAAATGAATACTCATTGCTGTACGTATGTATCTATTACAGCTTAAAATGAAAATTATTATAGATGCCTCACAAATGCTGTTGCTTAGGAATATTTTTTTATGACATTAATTTAGCTAAAAACTAATTTCGTCCCTTTTTAGGGAGGGTATTATCTGCTGCTGCAACTGTTTAGATATAGTTAGGTGCTCACATTTTTGCATAAATATTCAAATTTCCATACTGTAATTAAAAATTTTAATTAAAATTAATGTCACCATTTAAACCCAAAAGCATATACAACAGGTCCTTTCATCTCAACACAAAACAAAGGCAAAGCCAAAACTGAAACTGAAGCTATCCTTTTGGTAACTCTTGCTGCGTTAATGAAACCACATACACACAGTAAAAGTTGTCTCGTGCTTAGGTTACTACAAGTACGTTTTGAAAATGTCTATGGTTACGTTTATGTCACCGTTTTGTAGTTTTATTTCACATTTCACCCTTTTTACACAGACCCTGTGTAATCGTACACATAGTCTGGGTGCCATCTTTAATGACATTCTTGCTATGCTTTCTCTCGGTGCTTTCACCGTTAATGTCGTCTGTGTCTTTATAGTAAACTTTTAATAGTTTCATTTCAATGCATTTCTCTTTCGAAATTATATATTTTATGCACTGCAAAAGGATAACGTCACAAATATTTTTTATATTGGTGTATATTAAAACATATTTTATTACAATGACTTATGTGTCTAGTAGAAGTCGCATATGTGACATGCAAGTTTTCAAAACTTAATAATACTCAAATGGCAAAAATATGAGAAATAAACTGATTTAACGTATCCTACAAATAGTTTATTCTATAACACTGTCTACATAAATGGATTAAAGAATTAAGTTTGAACAAAAGTATTGAATACCAAAACTGAAGAAGTATAACTTAAAATACTTACCTACCTTCTCAGTTGGTCTTTGCAGACGTGTTGCTGCGTTAGGCTAATCCAGGTAACTAAGGCACCCTGTATGATTAGCGACTTATCGATAGTGATATTAATGGTTACCATTAACCTGTTATTCACTTGATTATGCGTTTGGAGATTCGCACGTCCTCCACCGCACTTTCTAACAGTGCCCATTGAATCAAACACTCTTCTAGCAGGTGTATTTTTATTATTATAAGCATGAGCAAGCCAATGTACCCGGATGAATTTTTGGTCAAAATGTTTTCTAATATAAACAAAAAATCCATGAAAAGTGGTAAAATTTACTGTTTGATTAATGGAAAGTTGGGCGGATATGGGTTAATATGCTTAACTTTATCAAAGTCAAGGTATAGCTGTACCGCATGGAAAATGCGGATCTATCTGGTTGCAGAATACACCGTTTTTTACTGTAATTAAAAGAGGAGATCACATTTAGAAAACATATAATGGACCGGATTGGACTTATAAATCCCTAGAATATAGTTAAAAAAAAGAGCGAACCCAGAAAACTGGCGAGCGATGGAGTAATATGTTATTCAAGTCCACAAAGCGAAAAAATTAAACCTAGAAAAGTGGATTAGAGACTATGATAATAAATAATGCAAACAACAATAAATCCAGAAAAGAAGTGGGGGTTATTTAAAAAAGTATCCACATGTTTCATCAACAAAAATCTTATTAGATTTTTATAATCTTATATGTTAAAAAAAACATTGTTTGCAAAATAATTTTTCATTAAGATTGATAATGTAATGTGCGTATAAAATATTATGTTGTTGATTTTTTATGTCTCGCCTCAAGCTGGTTGTGTTTTCAGTATTAGAAGGATTGCAAAAATGACTACGATTATAATACTTGTAATACTAAAAACACAATCAAAATAACGTAATACTTGAAAATCCGGCCTCATAAATTTTATATATAGAAAAGACATGTATTTTATTTTATATTTACATTGTTTTTGTACATAACAAAATATTTTTTTACCTTTTACAAATCTCGCTTCTCTCTGGTTGTATTTCTAGCATATATACTGTAAATGGTACTATATTTTTCCTTCGGGTAGCCTAAGACTTGAATCTAATAAAATCACCTTTCAGTAACACATATAACAGGGTGAATTCGTAATCCTCCCCTGGCTTCTAAGCATTTACAACAGTTGTATTAAGCTTATGTATGTTCCAAGCTGCTGGAGAGTGGCTCGAGTAATATTCATTCCCAAAGCAGGAAAAATAACTCACTGCAGTGCCAAGGACTATAGACCAATCAGTCTGTCTTCTTTTCTTCTGAAAGTACTAGAGAGAGTTCTTGATCTGCATATCAGGAACAAGATAAATCCAGCGCTCTTATCTCCATCACAGCATGCTTATACTAAAGGCAAGTCTGTCGATACTGCGCTTCATGCACTCATCTCGCAAGTTGACCATTCCATCTCTCTCAGGGAATACACACTTGCCACCTTTCTCGATATTGAGGGCGCTTTCAACAATGTCTGCCCCAATGGTATTATAAAATCCCTCTCAAAGTTAAATCTTGACAATAGTCTGGTTAAATTTGTAGAGGCCCTTCTCAAAACTAGGATTATCACATCCGACATCGGAAGTGTTCAATCCTCCAGAGCAGTCTGTCGGGGAACGCCACAAGGTGGGGTTCTCTCTCCTCTTCTATGGAACATAGCGGTTAATTCGTTGTTAAAACTTTTGGAACAATCCGGATGCAGTGTTATAGCTTATGCGGACGACATTGCTATTGCCTCATCTGGCAAATTCCCCCAAGTTCTATCCAATGTTATTAACTCTGCGCTCCTCATTGTAACTGAATGGTGTAGGGAATTCGGTCTGGATATTAACCCTGCAAAGACAGAGGTTATTCTCTTCACCAGGAAATATAAAATTCCGACATTTTCCTTACCAAAGATAAAGGGCGTTACTCTAAATTTAAGTTCGAACGTCAAATATCTGGGTATAATTTTGGACTCTAAACTCAGCTGGAAAGACAACTTGGCTGAGAGAGCCCGTAAAGCGGTATGCGCCACCTACTGTTGCAGAAGAGCTATAGGTCGCAGTTGGGGGCTCAAACCGTGCATTATACTCTGGCTCTATTCAGCTGTTATCGAACCAATTCTTCTGTATGGGGCTGCTTTCTGGTGGCAGGCAACTGAA